TTAGGCAGTCTGGGATATTAGATAGAGAGCTGACCTTGGAGTCAGAAAGAACTGGTTTCAAGTACTATTTCTGACACATAGCTGTGTGATTTCAGGCACGTCATTAAATCTCTCTCTGAGCATTGGTAAAGGGTATTTCCTCACAGGGAGCCCCTTACAAAGATAAAATCACGGGTTCTGTCTAAAATATATAATTATATAAAAGTACTCTGTGCATGTGTTCGTATGTGTGTGTAATATTACAGGGTGTTTCAATAGTTTTATTAAAGTTTTAAGGTATTAAAGCTTAAAATTGCACTGAGACTTTTGGGGCCATCAATATAATATATACGTATGTTTATATACCTTTATATATTCTTTTTCTCTCTCTCTATACACACACATATATTTAACAGGAGATATTTGGATTCAAGTCTTTTGATTCTGAATGCAATATGGTTTTTTTTTCTATCAATGTCCTTTCCCATCAATCCTTATCAACACTCATAGGGTCTGGAGAATCAGGTTTTGAAATGATCATGTTTATAGCCTCATAAGGCTATAAAATAACTGTCTACACAGTACACAAACCATTTTTCAGGGGTTCCTTGGAAGCTCTATGTTTTCTTAAGCAAGCTTTTTTAAAATGATGTTAAGGACATCATTTTGCTATGAAGGTAGATAAATTGGTGATTAAAAGGAGGAAAAAAAAAGTTAAATTCAATCATGATGATTTAACAACAGCTAGGAAGTAGGTTTATTTTTTTCCAGGAATGTCTAAAAGCACACTGACTTTTAATAATTATTTAAGAGGTAAGACCACCTGGTAGAGTGAATAGAGTTGACCCTAAGTCAGGAAGAGCTGGCTTGAAGACTTTCATCTGACACATGGGCTATGTGATTCTGCACAAGTGCCAGACAATTTTCTAAGATTATCAGTGAAAGGCAGATAATCCAATTTGTATTACCAACCCCAGAGGGTTGTTGCAAAGAAAGTGCTTTGTGAACCTTAAGGTGTTATGGAAATGTAAGCTACTGCTATTAACATAAGGGCGCCATATGTGGGGGGATAGGAGGAATAAAGCTTATCTTTCCTTTCCTCCCTTACCCCAACACTCCTAAATCTGTAAGAATGCCCATGAAAGCCCCTTCACAACTTAATTCCTCTGTGTGTGGGAAAAGGGTTAGTCTGTCCATTTGCAAAATCATAAATACGCAGGGGCAGCTAGGTGGAGTAGTGGATAGAGCACCAGCCCTGAAGTCAGGAGGACCTGAGTTCAAATCTGGCCTCAGACCAAATACTTGACACTCACTAGCTGTGTGGCCTTGGGCAAGTCACTTAACCCCAATTACCTAAAAAAAAATCATAAATACACATCAATTTTCTCGGGAAACCAAATTACTTCAGGTGGTTTGGATGCTCAAGAGGTTGTTGCCTGCATAGAATAGGGGTAATCAGTAATTACTTGATGAATGAATGATTATCCATAAAGAATCATATATAACATATAATAAGAGAAATTCTGGAATAGGAAAAATTATCACCAGGTAAGTGGTGGTAACCTGATTTAGCTAAAAACTACTTGAAAATGGAAGGGCTTCAATTTCTGGTGATGCAACACGGTGAAAAGCAACATTATCACATAGCAGCATTCTATTCTTGGGCTGGAGTTTCTCTATGTACTTACATATTTATGGCTGGAAGGGGCCTTGGAAGGTACCTAGTCCCCTTAATTTTACATGTGAGGAAACTGAAACTCAAAGAGCTGAATGACTTGTTCAAGGTCACACAGTCCATGTGGTATACTACTTGAACTATATCTCAAGAAAGTTACTGACAGCAAGAAAAGGTTCATATGTTAAAAAATATTCATAAGGGCCTTATTTCTGATAACAAAAAGCTGGATATAAACTATATACCCATCACCTGAAGAATGACTGAACAAATTATAGCATATGAATGAAATGGGATATTACTGCCCCATAAAGAATGAAGAATATGTAGATTCATGGAAATGTGGAAAGACTGATGTTAAATGATACAGGCTGAAGAAAACAGAGTTAAAAGAATAATACACTCAATGACTATGGTAAATAAAGTCACCATGGAGAGGCAATAAAACTCTGGTCAAATACAATGGTTAATGTTAGAACCATTCTACCAAAGTGAAAGGACATCCTTCTCCTTTTTTTTTAATTAAAATTTTTTTTTAATTTTTAGGCAATTGGTGTTATGTGACTTGCCCAGGGTCACACAGCCAGTAAGTGTCAAGTGTTTGGTCTGAGGCCGGTTTTGAACTCAGGTCCTCCTGACTTCAAGGCTGGTGCTCTATCCACCCTTCTCCTTTTTGTTAACAATTGATGATCTAATTTTTTTTAGTTGATGTACATAAAAAAGGGATCAGTTTTGGTGTTTGTTGGAAAGTAACTTTTGACTCAGAATAAAACATATCAATAAATTAAAAAACAAAACAAAACAAAAAACCAATTGGTCTGGAGCAGGAGACTAGGTCAATAGCTGCTTACCTTGTTCTCCAAGTCAGCTAGCGTTCTAAATCATGGGATAAAAAAAATCATAGGAGCCCAGATCTTGAAGTGGCAGGGACACCAGAGGCCATCAAATCCAATCCCCTCATTAAAAAAAAAAACCCACTAAGTCTGGGAGAAGTTAAATGACTAGCCTAACCAAAGTATTGAATTGAAGAATTGGGATAGCTGAATCCAGGTCCTCTGACTTGAGAGCCAGTGTTCTTTCCACTGTGCACACTGCCTTTTATGGTCCCTTTCACAATAGCTCTGTCTTTTTTTTTTATTCAAAAGACATCAAATGAAATTTAATAGTTGCAATCAATTTATTAAAAGAGATGATTAGTTAGGCATCTGCAATGGTGACTTCAACTTCTACACCTGGTTCAATGCTGACAGAAGTGATCTGTTGAACAATTTCAGAAGGACTGTGCAAATCAATAAGGCTTTTGTGGATTCTCATCTGGAACCGATCCCAAGTCTTTGAACCTTCACCACAAGCAGTTTTTCTAGCTGTGATCTGAAGTGTCTTAGTGGGCATTGGAACAGGTCCCTTCACTTTCAAGTTCTTTTCTTTGGCTCCTCTAATTAGGTCAGCACACACTTTCTCGAGGGATTTCGTGTGGCGACTGGTGAGGGTGATCTGGATCCGGTGAATGGCCACTTTGGGCTCCACGAGGATCTTGACAGTGTCTTTGAATGCCATGGCAGTGGAGCGGCTTCCTGACCGACTTATTTCTCGGTGAGAGTGAACAGCAGGTGAGTCAGGAGGAGCAAAGGCAGCGACTGCCGGCTTCACGCGGCTGCAGCGGCGATACCTTCGCCAAAGACACAACAGCTCTGTCTTGACCACCCACCTTGCTCTTTGACTTTACACTCTTAGGATCATGGGACCAGAGAATTGCAAAGTTGAAGGGACTGTGGAAATCATTTACTCTAGTCCCCGCTCAAAGCATGAACCCTATCTACAATATCCCCATCACTCATCCTTCAAAAGAAGGTGTCTACTCTCCAAAGAAGTCTATTTCATTTTTGGATAGCTCCAATTACTAGTCAGCGTTTGCTCATAGTGACACAAAAACAGGGTTCACTGTAGCTTCTAACAGCTAGGCCTAGGCCTGCCCTCTGTGGACAAACAGAATGGCTCCTTCCATATGTCAATGTTTTACATATTTGAAGACTGCTATCATATTCCCTCTGCTCCTTTTCTTCTCCAAGATGAACATCTTTGCTTCCTTCAGAGCTCTTTTGTTCTTCTTGTTTTGTTTCAGTCCTCTTCAGTTCTCTTTTGCCGTGGTTTCTAGTCCTGGTTGTTGGACGTGTTTCATGGACTTCAGGCATGCTTCTGGACATGCTTCAATTTTGTCAGCATCTCTTTGAAGAGATGGGGACTAGAATTGGAAACGATTCTTCAGATGTGTCCAGACCAGGGCTGAATATTGTCTTCTGTTTCATGTGATTTTATGTTCCCTGAGGGCAGGGACCAGGACTTCTATGTCTCCTCTGTTCTTCACAGAGCCCAGCGCAGGGTTGCATACAAAATGGGGGCTCAAAATTTATTTGTTGGGTGAATGAATGAATGAATGAATGTGTTTGTGTGTATGTGGGATACTTCAATCTATTTTTCTCCTCTCTCTGTGGGATGTATTGAGGCCCCTTCCACATCGCTGGGGTTAGGGGTGCAGCACCTCCATGATTTGGAAAATCCATGTAAAATTTTTTGGCCTTCCCTTCATACCAGAGAAGACATCTTCTGGCTTCATGGATTTCCTTCTCTTTTTTCTTGATATTATACAACACTATACATATTTTTTATGCATTTCTGAGTTTCTAAACTTTTTCTGTATAATCTGTTGTGTGTCATCTGTGGCTTCCACAAAATCCCCCCAAAATTCCATTTAATTTTTTTATGCCAACTTTTATGCTAACTATGCCCACACAGGGATGTGAAAAGTTGTGATGTGGAAGGGATAACTGTAGTTTGACTTTGGGCTATCTTCCATCAGCCAACAGTAGTAATAACTCATATTTCTTTATAACTTAAAGTTTGCAAAGCACTTGCTTCACAACAGCCCTGTAAAGTAGCTATCCTCATTTTCCAGGCAAGGCAAATGAATCTCTAAGAGAGGTCACATGACCTGCCCAGCATCACAGTTAATCTTCTCAGACCCAGGCTATGAACACAGGTCCCTTCTGACTTCACAGAGCTCTTTCTACTCTGCCACGCTCCCCCTCTTATACCAGATTGCCTCTCTAAATGTGTTTTGAGGATCCTCTGTATGAAATGTTTTGATTAGTCCAAATGCACCAGGAATTATGCAGATAAGCAGACTAAAGTTCTTAGAAAGAGAGAGAAAGTGTGGATGAACAGTTGAATGTAGAATTTGAGACCACCATGTTCAGTGCTCTCTCCCATACATTTTGAATAACCCATAATGCAGACCACCCAACCAATGTCCCTCCATGGAGGTACCTCCTTCACAGTTTCTAAGTACCTTGTAATTTTGAATATCCTCAGCAGCCGGACACATCTCAACACTGAGATCCCCAGGGGGGACATGATCTTGGTCTCTACCAGGATGGTCTCCAGGATTCCTCCACACACGATGAAGCAGTCAAAGCGGTTGAACAGAGACACAAAGTAGGCCTGGAGGCCAAGGCTGTACATCTTCAACAGCATCTCTGCAGTGAAAAGAGCCAGCAGGGCCTTGTTGGCAGTATCTGGCAGGATCCAGAAGAGGAGGAATTTGGGGATGGGGAAAGCAAAGAGGGAAAAATTATTAACTAAAAAAAAAAATCTCCCCTTTCCCCAACACATTTCTGGCACTCTAAATCCCCCTTATAACCTCAAAGCACTAAAAAAGCTAGAGTCTACATGAAGAAAGAGGGATGTTTTAGAAGGCAGTGGTCACCTAAAGAACTGGGGCCATGTTTAGCTCTCTGGGTACAGTACTAGCTTGATGCCATACTAAAGTAGGCACCTTATCCATGCTCTTTGAGAATACTGGCGGGGGTTGTGATATTAATGAAAAGTTGATGATTATGAGAAGGACTCTCACTATGATGCTTATTAGTCAGTCAGGGAAGGCAGGCAGAAGAGCCTGTAATTAGGGTGAGGTAACCTGAACTTTGCCCCAGGGTTTCCACATCCAGGGGGAGGGCAGGAATGCTTCCTCCCTACAGTGGTCTTTTGTCCCTTCATTTCATAGTTCTCTACTGACACTGTCAGTACTATCCACGAAGGCCTCCCAAGTCTGCTTCTTTTCACCGCTGTGCCTTGCTCCTCTCTCCACCTCCTCCTTGCTGGAGGAGAGATAGGGAGAGTCTGTAACCTGTTGTTCTATGGGGGGAAGGGGCTAAAGCAGCCACGTGCCAGGAACAGCTTGAACCAGCTGGAGAGAGCTGATTGTTAAATTTTCAGCATGAGCATTGATGCCTCAGAAACCAACAAATGCTACAGATGCTTTATTGTTTTGTTGATTATCTAGACTTAAGAAAGTGATTAACAATGTTAATAATGCAGATTAAACTTAAAATGCTGTCATGCATACATTTTCTTTTCTGAACAGCTGCTTGTTAAACATTTACTACCATACCACTGGACTAGAGCTATATTCTCTAGGAAATGAGTCATCCTTTCTTCTGGCATGACTGCATCAAACTAGAATGGGCTGTAGCTCATGTGCTCCTTCTCTTAACTAAATTTTCCCTAGGCATCGGAATTTCTTGTTGTGGCTCTGAGATAAAAACAAACATTCCTGAATTCTCAGTGTGCGCCAGTTATGGTTGATTGTGGCCCTTCTCTTGGCTATAGCCCATTTTTCTTAATTATATCTCCAGTCTAGGGGCACAGTCAAATGAGATCCTCTTTTCTCTAGTACCTCCTAGTGCTTCCACTTAGGAAAAAATTATTTATTAGGATTGTCAGTTTGTTTCTTTTATTTTCTTATCCTCCCCCTTTCCTCCTCCCTCCCCCACCCCTCCCCACTCCAGGCTTTTCTGGTCAACAGATGTCCTTTATGATGAGCACAGTTGGACCTGTACACAGCTCTGAAAATTCCCTTTGGCAAGTGAACTGCCAGAAGGGCCTTGTCTCCCATCACCTGGACATAACACTCAGTGTGTCGGGGGTGGCAGACGGTATGGGCCTAGCTGGATAAAGGGGGCTTATTTATAAAGCATTTCTTGTATTTTATGACAGCTCTGGCCTGGAGTATATCCGTTGTCATAACTGTTGGCCAACACCCCATTAAGTTATATCTATGGGCCAAATCTCCATAAAGCCTCTGACTACTGGTGACTTCACATCCATTTGGCATTAAGGCAAGGCGAGCAGGGACAGGTGGGAACTGAAGCCGGGGGTGCCCCTCACCTTGGACTTCTGTGAGCCAGTGGGGCTGGTTGTAGTGCTCTGAGGCGATGGTAAGGGTGTTGAGAAATACAAGGAAAATAACAAGCCAGTAGAAAATATTGGATTTGACAGCAGCCCGACACTTCCTTCTGCAGAACCGGTTCCACCGGCGCCAGTAGCGGCTGGAAAATAGGAAAAGAGGTGGAAGGTTGGGGGGAGGGTGGTAGATGAGGTGGGAATAGGGAATGAAAAGTTAGGAACCCGTCAGCTTGAGTCTCAGAGGAGCTGCCTCGTTTAGATGCTTCAGTGGAATAGCCTGGTCTCCAACATTCCTTCTGGCCTGAAAATTTTATTAGGAGATGTGGGAGCAATAGACTGCTTCTACTTCCTTCCTTTATGTCAAACCTAGATTGGGGCAGCTAGGTGATGCAGTGGATAGAGCACTAGCCCTGGAGTCAGGAGGACCTGAGTTCAAATCCAGCCTCAGACCAAACACTTGACACTTACTAGCTGTGTGACCCTGAGAAAGTCACTTAACCCCAACCGTCTAAACCCCCCCCCCGCCAAACAAAAACAAAACCTAGATCAAGGGTAGTCAACATAGGTAGCTGCCAAGCATGTGAAGCATTTAGGCAACTTACTGGCAGCTAGGTGGCTCAGTGGAGAGAGGGAGAGGCGTGGAATCAGGAAGACTCATCTTCCTGAGTTCAAATCCGGCCTCTGACACTTCTTAGCTATGTCACCCTAGGCAAGTCATTTAACCATATTTGCCTCAGTTTCCTCATCTGTAAAGTAATCTGGAGAAGGAAATGGCAAACCACTCCAGTATCTTTGCCAAGAAAACCCTAAATGGGGTCACGAAGAGTCAGACATGACTGAAATAACCCAACAACAATAAAAATTAACGTATATGCTCAGCTACTTTACAATTATTACCTCATTTGATCCTCACAAGAACCTTTGGGAGTTAGGTGCTATACCATCCCCATTTTACAGATGAGGAAACAGAGGCAAACAGAGGTTAAGTTATTTGCTTAGGGTCACACAGCTAGTAAGTATCTGAATGCAGATTTGAACTGAGGTCTTCCTGACTCCAGGCCTGGTTCTTTCTGCCCTGTGCCACCTTGATGCCCCAGGAAGACCATCTTAGGAAGACTTGAGTTCAAATCCAGTCTCAGATACTAGCTAGTAAGTATGACCTTGGCCAAGTCATTTAACCTCTGTTTGCCTTGGTTTTCTCAACTGTAACAAGGGGATAATAATAGCACCTACTTCCCAGGGTTGTTGCGAGGATCAAATGAAATGATATTTGTAAAGCACTTACCACAGTGTCTGGCATATAGTAAGTGCTTAATAAATGCTCGTTTTCTTTCTTCCTTTCTGACTTCCAAAGCTGGCCCTCGATGCCATGCTGCCTCTCAAAATTATTTTTCAAGGCTAGGAAATCCTGTTTTCCATGGCATATGGACGTTAATTTTGATTTATTTTGTGACCGATCAAATTGCATATTTTATAGGGAAGACCCAAAGCCCAAAGTGAACACATCTTTGTGGCCACATACCACAACAACGGAAGAAAACATTTTATCAAGAATTCTTGTCTTTCATTGATGTTGAGGCAGGCCACAATCTTGGGCACCTGCCCAGGAGAGAGTTTTGTCTTGCCTCTGCCTTTTCTTCAGAAACCTTCTGACAAAATGTGCTACTTCTGCTAAAGGGCAACATACAAGTTGGGTGAATGGGAAGACAAAGGGAAGATACAGAAGAATGCAAGACTAGACAGCAGAACACAGCATCCAGTGAATATTTGTGTCTTTTTTTTTTTTAAGACAATTGAGGTTAAGTGACCTGCCCAGGGTCACACAGCTAGTAAGTGTCAAATGTTTGGTCTGAGGCCGTCTTTGAACTCAGGTCCTCCTGACTTTAGGGCTGGTGCTCTATCCACTGCACCACCCAGCTGGCCCCAATATCTGTGTCTTTTGAGAAAGTTTTTGTTCTCCTGTCTAAGATGCCTTCTCTCCACATATACAAAGCCAGGAACGGACTTCAGTGAAAACTTGGTCAAATAAGAAACATTAACCCAGAAAAGTGAAGTGACTTTCCCAAGGTTATATAGGTAGTATTTAGCCAAGTCAGGATTCCAACCCAGGTCCTCTGACTCTAATTCCACTACACCACTCTTGAGGCTCAAATTAAATCAAAAGAATACGTGAAAGTTTTTTGCAAACTGCAAAGCGGTATACAAATATAAGATACAAATTAGGTTTCCTGCTATTTTAGCTCATCTTTAGAAAAGTACCCCCCTCCCCCAAAGTACAGATTTTCTCATAAGTTCCTAGGTCTAGGGATCCTTTGGGAGAGTCTGACATTTGTTTATTGACTTACTACTCTCTGACCAGAGCACTCCTGGGATGCACTGGTCAAGTGGAGTGTTGGGCCCCAGAGAAACAAGTCTTTATTGGATGGAGTTAGTGTAGGGCATTGTAGCATAAAGTACCTGGAGTTCTCTCTCCTATAGTTCTGTGATCCATAAAATAAGGGGACTGAAGGAGATAATCATTAAAGTCCATCCTAGTTCAGATGTTATATTCAGTTTGACATTAACTCCAATTTAAGTGGAAAAAAATGAGGAGCACAGCAGGGCAAAAGGGGCCTTTTCCCTTCCCCTCAGGTAGTTTCTTACCTAGCAGGGAAGGGAGATAATCAGGCAGGTATTGCTTTAATGTAATATGCCTATTACTACAAATATTTGCATGAGAACTGCAAAATGGCAGTAAAACCTTTACATGGTGTTTTTGCTCCCTCCTTGGAGGATGCCTGCTGTATGTGCAATGAAAAAAATCAAGACTTTCAAAAATATATATTTCAAGGTACCTTAAACTGCCTGAACAAAGGAGTTTGAATTTGAGAGGGACAAAAGAACAGATCAATAATGTGATTTTGATGGCCAGAGGCCTCTGGAGCTTCCCAGGTGCAAAATTCCCTCACAGGCCTGTCCTGGGCTGGCATAGTTGTATTTTTGGTCTTTTAAGCCGGAAGGCGTTGCATGTGGAAGGACACATGACTCTTCTGAAGCTTGGCTTTTCTTTTCACACTTTCTCCAAGCCTGAGTATGAATGTCAGGTATCCTTGACACAAATAGCCTTCCTTGCTACAGACGCAATAGGGACTCACTTTCATGGCTCTTCCTGGTCTCTTGATGGAAAGATCATAAGACTGTAGATTTAAAGTTAGAAGGGATCTCAGACACCATCTAGTCTAAGCCTTAAAGCTCAGGGAGATGAAGGAATTTATCCAAGGACACACTGATAGCTGGCATCAGCCACAGGATTTGAATCCAGGCCCTCTGAACTCCATAACCGTCCTCTTCCCATTGGATAAGGCTGCCTATTAATAGGGTGGTGCCCTATTTGGCTCTTCTAGCATATAGCCATTTATGACTGTCACACTCATTTGGGTTGGAATAAGGGAGTAACTGCTAACCAGAAAAGGTGTTTAGAAGCTAATTACACACCTCCCACACTTACAAAAATATAGCTTGCTTAGCAACGGGTTTCCTGGCAACACCCTCTATTGTATAATAAATGCCATGGTTTATTTGTATGTGTGAATATGTGTATGTTTACATATGCAGGCAGGATATGGAAAGGACATGGTAAAACAGGGAGGGGAGTTAAGCCTGTAATTCTTGTTTCCCTCATGCTAACAAGGAAACAGGTTTGTTCCAGTGGGAGAGGCAAGGGGATGACTGGGCACTGCTGCTCCTTCCTCCCCTCCTCAAAAGGGCAGAAAGTGCAGCCTCCTCCAAAGGCTGCAGGGCTCGAAGCTCTCTGGGCACATTCAGACTCTTTGGCCATAAAACTTGTGTAGCATTAGTAACTCTGTATTCAGTGTTTCAGGTGTGTTTTGTGACACCCATTTTGCCATAGGAGTTTAATAAGCATTGTGCCAGTATACTGGAAAGGGCACTGAACTCTGAGTCAGAAGACCTGGGCTCCCATTCTGACTCTGCCACTTACTAGCAGTGTGACCTTGCGAAAGTCACCTCTCTACTCTGAGCCTAATTTAGGGGTTAGGCTAGGTGATCTCTAAGGTCCCTTTCCACTATGATTCAACGAAATAGGTTCAAAAATGGTAATACTACGAACAAAAACAATAAATTAGTAGTGTACTCCTCTAATGTTGGCCCAATAATCTATAGTATGATTTATCCTAATTCTCCACCTCTTTACTCTCACTGCTCTCCCATGGTGTCACTGACATCAGGATTGGCTTATTTGGACATTTCAGTAAATTTGACCCTTGACACAGTGGCTTTTCTTGACTTTCTGAAGCTTGGCTTGGCCTATACACATGAAGGAAGAAATCACTCCCTTAGACAGCACCCCCTCCCCCCAACTTGATGGGCAGTTCTTTGGGTCATTTGAAAGAGGCAGGGGAAGGATAGGAGGGACAGGAGAATGCAAGAGAGGAAAGGAGAAATATCTCACTCACCTGAACTTTGATTTGGAGATTCGGTGCCTAAAAGAGAACAGAGCAGTATTACTGAATCATACGCTAATTTCATGCTAATTCAACTAGTGCCCAGATCAGGGGTGGGGAATCTGTGGCCTCAAAGCCTTTGGAGTCCATCAAAGGGCCACACTCGAGGACCTAGAGGGCCACATGTGGCCTTGAGGCTGCAGGTTCCCCACCCCTTGCCGAAATGTTGACCCTCTCCTGACAGTAAAGGACCCAACCCGATGCATGGCATCTCCTGACTTGTTCTTATACTCCCATGTAAAGGCAGAGGGCTGTTACAGTTATGTTCTCCCAGTCAACCAGAATCCATTCAGCAAGGCCCTTGAGGCTGGGTCAGGGGAAAATTCTGGACAGATCTTCTTGCCAATTACTTATTAAGAAGGATCTGTTCTTGCTAGGAAGTATGAAGAAGGAAAAGCCTGTCATAGAGAGGGGCGTAGTTCACCATTAAGTCCTAGTATAAGCTGCACCTGCAACAGTTCCTTTTCTCATGGTCCACTGGCCCTGGGCCAGATGCTGAATAGTATTTGGGTTACAAGAACGGTAGAAAAGGCAAAATAACCCAGCTGGAAATAGAGAAGCCAAAAAGATCTTGTCTTGAGGACTGGAAACTGTTAAAAAAACAAACTGCCAAGGGTTTAGAGAGGGCTTGAGAATAATACTGAAAGCACTGCCAGCCATGTATAGCACTGAAGACCCATGGAACATTAAAAAAATAGGAACATGGGAAGGAAATTCATGAACTAGTGTATTCATGTGTGCAAATATATGTGCTACTTTAGATTTGAATGCATAATCAAGTTAAAAGGCAACTTTTCAAAAAGCGACCCAAAAGAAGGTCTAAAGGACCCAAATAAGAGTTGATAAGAGAGAAACACAGACAGGGAGAGAAGGTGAAGCAGAAAAATCAACAAAGATCCACAGAGGAGAAAGAAAATCAAAACGAAAGGCATTGTATATCAAGAGGATGTGGGGAGTGAGGGCCAACGAGCAGATGAAAGAAATATTTGGATGAAAAGACAGAATGTTTTTTTTGGTGCTAGACATAGACGACTGAAAATGGAAGACATTTCAGGTGGAGGGGGAATGATCAGGGTAGAAACAGAGAAGCAGAAAGATAGAAAGAAAGAAGAAAAGGAAGGAGGGAGGTTTGTTGGACTACTTGCTAATCTTACTATCTATGAAACGATGGGGTTGAATTGGAGGATTTGTAAGGTTCCCACCTCCCAGATTACTGTGTGTTTGTTTCTATATCCTGTATTTATTTGTCTGTGAATGGGTTCAAGTGAACAGCAGAACATAAACTCCCTGAAGGGAGGAGCTGTTCCATTTTTTGACTTGGTACCTTTCAGGCACAGTGCCCGCCACATAGTAGGCATTTAATAAATGTTTGATGATTGCTTGATTCCAACTCTAAATCTATGAGCTGATGGATCTGTGTCATTTCAGTTTTGCTCAAAGGAACTAACTTGGTAGGGGAAGAAACCACTAAATCTTTCCACTTTTTTTTAATTTAAAAAAAAGTGAAAAGATGAAAAAGTGGTATCGTCATCTTGCATCTCTAGGACACTGAGCTTCAGGGAACTCTTTACCCTAAAGCCCACCTCTCCTGATTGGCAACTCCCAACCCTGCCCTGAATACCACTGCAGGAAGGACCCCAGCTAGGTTTCATACCTTTCTCTAGACCCCTTCATCTCCTTGATGACCACATCTTCCCCCCTACCCCTTCCCTGCTTTCCAGCTAGCTCCCCTTTACATATGGTCTTCCCCCATTAATATGTAAGCTGCTGAAGAGCAGGGACTGTGATACTTGCTTGTATTTATATTCCCAGTGCTTTGCACATAACAAACACTTAAAAATAATCTCTCACTTCTCATTTTCTCCCCAACCCACCTCTCTGCCTCTGTCATCTCTGTCTGTCTCTACTGCTAAAATATGGTAGCTAGTAGCTAGCTCCCTACCCCCAAAGTCTACATACTTAGGTGGGAGGCTTTAATCATATGCTATCAAGGAGCGTGGGAAGGGAAAGAGGAGGAAAAGGAGAATATTTTTATTTAGAGCCAGAATCAAACATTTTAAAGTTGCTAATTGGGTCATGGAAATTCCAAGGTGTTCTACCTCCAACCAGGGACATCTATAGCTTGAGATATGTCAAGGCTCACTTTTTAAGGAGAGGTTTTCCTGGCGAGGAGAACCCAATTTCCCCCTCATCATTATAAGTGGATTTAGGGGTTGAATGAGACTTTCTCTAATCTTGAGCCTTATTCCGTTGACTCCAAGGAAATTCTGAGTTGGTCTTGTTTGAGGATACCCCAAGGTTTGTAGAGGAAAGAACTCTGGATCAGAGGAATCAGGTTTTTATCCCAGCTCTGCTACTTATTCCTTTCATAGCCTGGACTTGTCTTACCCAACCTCTCTGGACTCCAAGCTATCCCATACATATATATATATATATATATATATATATACATATATATATATATATACATATATATAATATTATACATATATATATATACATATAATATATATATATATCATATCTATATCTATATATATGTTTGTACATAGGTTTTTTTTCCTTTTATTGAGGCAATCAGGGTTAAGTGACTTGCTCAGGGTCACACAGCTAGGAAGTGTCTGAGGCTGGATTTGAACTCAGGTCCTCCTGATTCCAGGTCTGGTGCTCTATCTACTGTGCCTCCTAGTTTCCCCTTGTGCCTGGTCATTTGAATGTGCTTCTGTTAGATTGTGAGTTTCTTGAAGCCGGGGCCTTTTTTTTTTTGCTTCTTTTTATTATAATGCCTGACACATAGTAAACACTCAAAAAAAATTTTTGTTGACTTGACATCAGTTTTCTCATTTGTAGAATGAAAGGGGTTGGACTAGACCATCTTGAGGTCTCTTCCAGTGCTATGATCTATGAGCCTTTGAGCTTATAAGCTCCAGGTCTGACTGCTGTCTTGTTCTCTTTCCTTTGACCCACTTCAAATGGTCCTAAGTAACAGAGTGCACTTGAGAATCCAAACACTGGGGGCGTGGGTGGATATGCTTGTTTAAATCCCCAGAAGCAATGTCTGATGGTACAGTGAAAAATCTAGGCCCAGGTGACAGTATCTCATAATTCAGGTGTGGTCACTGTTTTCATGATTCTCTGTGGCACTCTGAGATTGAATGGGGGCCAAGGGAAGTTTTCCTCCCTATTCATTTCCAGGCCAGCTGCACTCTATACTTCTCTGGGCCTCAATGCCTCAACTGTCCACTGGGGATAGAACCTCTTTCAACATTGCCAATTGGAAACCTTTTTAAAAGATCATGACTGACCTAAGATTGCTTCCAGCTCTAGGTCTACAATCCCATGAGGCTCCCTTCTCCATCATACCTACATGTGTAATGTCTTCAGAATATCACTCCCATCCATTTCCTCCTCTCCACTCACATATGGCCACCACCCTTTATAACTCCCCTGGGCTGTTGTGATAGCTTCCCAACTGTTCTCCCTAACTTCAGTCTCTTCCTTCTCCAATCCATCCTTTATAAAACTGCCAAAATAAGCTTCCTAAGACATGGGCCTGACTATGTTATACCTCACTCCAAAACTTTCAGTGATTCTCTGTTTCTAATAGGATAAATGTGAACCCCTTTGCTTGCCAGATAAGGCTCTTCACAGTCTTATTCCGAGCATCCTCTCCAACCTTACTTCCCAATGTTCTCCTTCTCATGAACTTCATATTATAGCCAAACTGACTACCATGATTTCATCTTGATCTCTCCTCGTCCAATTGTGTTGGCTCTTCCCCATGCCTAGAACACATATCTTCCTTTGTAGAAACCATTCACTTTCTTAGAGGTAGCTAGGTAGTACAGTGGATAGACTGCCAGGCCTGGACTCAAGAAGACCAGGGTTCAAATCAGGCCTTACTTACAAGGTATATGACCCTGGGTGGGTCCCTCAACCTCTGTTCACCTCAGTTTGTCAACTGCAAAATGGGGATAGTAATAGCTTCTACCTCACGGAGTGGTTGTGAGGATCAAATTAAAATTTATTTGTAAAGAAAAAAAAGACTTAGCATAGTGCTTGGCACATAGAAGATGCTATATAAATGCTTATTCTCTTCCCCCCTTTGTTCAAGGCCCAGATGAGGTACAATCTCTTCCATGCAATTTCCTCTAATTCCCCTCCTCTCCTCCAAGGGGTGTGTTCCTCTTCAAACATTCTTAGTGAACTTTATTTAAATTTCTTCTTTGTCCTGATCATATTCTACCTTATTTCTATGCTCTTTTATTTCTTATTTCTCATCCTCTTTATTAGATTGTAAGCCCCTTGAGAGCAGGGGCTATTGCTTTTTTATTCATTGTGTCCCCAGCACAGAATAAAGATGATTAGAGAGATGTGTGATCAGAAAAGAAGGTTGGAGAGGTAGCAAGATAGCACAGTATATAGAGCACCAGCCCTGGAGTCAGGAGAACCTGAGTTTAAATCCGGCCTTGGACACCTACTAGCTGTGTGACCCTGGGTAAGTCACTTAACCTGATTGCCTCAAAAAGAAAAAGAAAAAGAAGGTGGATTGGTTCTGAAGTGAGTGATAAATGATCCTGTGAACTCCATCTTTGCTAGATCCCTACAGTCTAGAGATTGGGCCCCCAGCCAGAAGGGTGGAGCTCTTGTTCAGGATTTACAGAAAGATGTGGCTAGGGGCAAGGTTAGTTTCATAGACTGAGATGGATGGGATGAATTCTACTGCTGGATGTAGTACCTGCACTGATGTCCACTTACTATGGGCAACTCATTTAAACTCCCTAAACCTCAGCTTCCTCAACAGTAAGGCAAGGCTAATGATACCTATTGCTCTTACCTTATATGGTTGTTATATGGTTCAAATGAAGAACTGAAGAATCCCCAGGGCCTACACAGGGTCTTCTTACACATAGTAGGGCTCACAAATGTTGCTAAATTTAATAAGAAGAGGCAGGGGCTCCTAGCTTACTCTTGTGAAGGAAAGAGGCAGAAATCAGAAGACCTGGCTTCTAATTCTTACTTGGAGAAATCATTTCATTTTGCTCATCTTTAGCTGCTTTTCATTCCTACCTTTCCTTCTACCCTCTATTTCCCCATCACCAGGTTGCACTCCTAACTCTACCAGTCTTCCTCACAAACCTCCTCACCTTGGGAGCTCACTCTACCCCTGGACTTGACACCTCTCTCTTGAATTATCTGGTTCTTCCTAGAATTTCCATTTTGAGAAAGAGACTGGTCATATCTTCATTCCTCTCCAGACCGTATTCTCAACTTTCCCAGACCTTTTCTTCAAGGCTCCTGCCTCCAACCTTCATCTCTTTCCCTGCCCCTTCCTTCAGCTCCCTTTTATGAGTTGTCTTCCCTCATTAGAATGTAAGCACCTTGAAGGCAGGAACTGCCTTTCTTTCTGCTTTTATTTGTCTTTCCTACGCTTAGTACATAGTAAGCAGTTCATAAATGCTTGTTGACTTGACTTGTCACATGGTAGGGGTGGACTAGAGGAGCTCCAAGGTGCTTTTCAATGCTGACTTCCTATGGTTCTATTTTGAGTGAGGCACAGAATGATTTTGGCTCCCATCTATATTTCTGCATCTTCCTAAAGCTACAGATTTAAGCACCCTTCCTGTTCATATTCTACCTGTTCTGTCTTGTTCTGGACCCTTGGAACATGCTTTAGGGCCCAGCATCATTTCCTTCTCCACTTTTGGAGACAGGACCTTTCCATGGAGCCTTCTGAGAATATCAGAGCAAGAGTACCCCTACCACTGATAGGGCTGGAAGGCTTCTCAATTGGCTTTCACTGGGTAAAGGCTGCCTCCAGAAATTCAAAGACTTTGTTTTTTACCATCCCTAATGAGGGAGAAGAAGCAAAAAAAAAACCAGGCTATTGCTTAAAAATGTAATTAGCGTGGTATTTTAACATTTTGACAATAATTACCTCCCTACCTTCCTCAGAAATCTGCAGTGCAGACTCCCTGGTGCCTCTGTCAGAGTGACTGATAGTAAAAGTCCTACATGCCCAGGAGGGAGAAATCATAAGAGCTGGTCTGTCCCCAGGCCTTGAGCTTCATAAGAGCTTCTCCTCATCCTCAGAAATCATCCTGGAGGCTGGCACAACAAATGCTCAGACCACCTGCAAGCTCCTGTTCGGGCAGCCTGTCTTATGACCAAAATAACTGAGCCATTTCTGAGGGGTGAAAAGCATGCCCTTTGCTTGATGAAATCTTTAGAGACTCATCCTACATGAAGCCAGGCCTCTTCAGTGCTATCTATCTAGGTGTATCTCATTTCAATTCAACTAGATTCAATTCAATTAATTTCATTTCAATTCACCTACTAGTACAAGGCAGTCTATTTACAAAGTTGAAGTCTATGATCCTTATGCCCCAAGTAAGTGTCTGCAGCAGGGGATGCTGTTTCTATTCTCCAAAGGGAAGAATTAATTTCTTCATATCTAATGTCTGACTCTTAATTTTTCATAAGTGAAATGATGAGTGGATCATTTAAGGCCCTTCTACCTATCACTGCCTGGAGCTGACCACAATGGAAGGGGTGTGTGTGTGTGTGTGTGTGTGTGTGGTGTGTGTGTGTGTAGGTCACCTGTGTGTTGTGTGTTTGAGGGGGCTGTCTCGAGTAAGCATCATAGTACAGTCCCACCTCCAACTTCAAAATTTACTTCATATTTTATTATTGTTTGGTTGTTTCCGTCATGGCCGATGCTTCATGACCTCATGTGGGGTTTTCTTGGTAAAGATACTGGAATGATTTGCTATTTTCCTCTCCAGCTTATCTTACAGATGAGGAAACTGAGGCAAACAGGGTTAAGAGACCTGCCCAGGGTCACACAGTTAGTAAGTGTATGAGGCCAGATTTGAATGCAGGAAGATGAGTCTTCCTGATTCCAGGCCCTATTCTTTATCTACTGAGCCACCTAGCTGCCCATTCCTCATATTTATTTTATGCATATTTTGTATTTACTTATGTATACATGTTGTTTGCCCTTTTAGAGTGTAAGTTCTTTGAGGGCAGGATCTATTTTCTTTTTTTCTTTGTATCCCCTATTCAGCAACTGCCATAGGTTAGATACTTAATAAATATTGATTGCTTGATTATCCATGGCAAGAACAGTAGATGTGGAGTCAGGAGAGAGACCCCTGTTCAAATCCTACCTCTAACACTTAATAGCTGTGTGACCATGGACAAGTCTCTTAAGTTCTCTAAACCTCAATTTCCTCAACAGTAAATTGAAATAATGATAACCATAGCTCTTATCTCACAGTTGTTATGCGGCTCAAATAATATAATACATATATAAAGTATTTTGAAAACCTTAAAATGCTCTTTGTATATTATTTTATTATTATTACATTCCATTTAAACAAAGATGAGTTTTGAGTTATCTGTTGTTCGCATTGATGGCACTTCTTTCCTTCAGTGACATAGATCAAGTCTTTTAACGGCTCATATCATACTTTCTGCTTTCTTTTCAGCCCAGGTTATCCTGTCTAACAGAATTTAAAGCCTGATCAGCAAGGCCTAATATCCCCTTCGTCTCATAGTCTTTTTGCTTTGGATGGTAAAAAGTTCCAGTGAGACTCTGTAAAACTGAAGAACTCTACAATAGAGTATACTTATATTTATTGTTTCAGTGCAAGGATATGACAGCCCAAAGCACAGACCTTCACAGGAAACATGGGAATTTTTACTTGGAAGTCTACCTCAATGGTAACATTCTCTCCCAACCCTCCCCCCCAACCCCAGCTCATCAATCCATTAGACATAACCAAATATGTTAAATCATTCCTTTCACTCCACTTATGCCACTGTCTGGTGTTTCTGCTTCTTTTTGGTGATAGACTTTTGTCTTCCCACTGTGTTGGGTCACCTGATACCCCTTAAATAACTTGATCTGATTTCAGGACCAACTTATAGGGCAATTCCCCCATCACTGCCCTATGGATTTGCCCACTGGATTTGCAATGCCTACTCACGCCAGCCTTGCCCCACAGTTCTCTCCCTCGATGTCGCCTCCAGCCACATTTTCAGTGTTGACCGACTCTGTCTCACTTGTGGGCATGCTCACTGCAAGAGTCAAAAGGGAGAAAGCAGAAAATTGGGGTAATGGGAGAAAGTTAGCTGCTGACATGCCCAATATTGAGTGACAGCTGCAATGTTCAGTTGCAGAAAGTGACTATAGGTAGAAGTATTGGAATTGGCTGGACAAAGGGGTAGAATGGTGGTAGTTGCCACTGAGAAGAATGAAATCCACTGGAATAAGTCCCAGGGTCCTGGGACTTGAAGGGAGAGGGAAGTTATTGTCTTACTGCTTATCCCAGATAAGCTCTGCTGTTAGTCAATGAAAAGGGGTGAGAGCTGTCTTGGGGTAGAAGTGGGGTGTGAGGGTAGGGAACTGGTGTTGAGATCAATCCTCCCCCCTCCACCACTGGAAATGTTTTGAAATACATAAATGATCACCTTGAAACAAAAAACCAGCACCAGCATACCTCAATGTATTCTAACAAATGGATAAATTTAGCATCAAACATTGATAGCCTGTGGGATCAGTTTCCTAACTTACCGTTCATAAAGAGAGAAACTCTCAGTAGATGACTTCTTTCCCCTTCATTCCTTCCCATCTACCCAGCTCTCTAAGAGCTGGAATTTGAGTTCGAATCTTGGCTCCTTCCTTACTCACTACACTTACTTGTATGACCTTGGGCAAATCCATGAACCTCTTTGAGAGTTTCACTACCCACCTCATAGGATTGTGAAAGTACTCTAGAAATGTGCTATTGCTGCTGTTACTATGTTATTATTAACACTGAAACTGGAAAGACAGAGTTTGGTTGATGGTTTACTTAAGGCTTCTCTCTCTCTCTCTCTCTCTCTGTGCATGCCAGACTCACAGCTGTGCTTCACAAGGTGTGGCTGCTGTGGACTTTTTGGCAATGCCCATCTGTACCAAAGTCTTCATCTGGCTCCTGCCTTCTAAATCATCACATTCCTATCACTTAGGAAGAATTTGGAGCAGGGGTTCTTTACTTGTTTGTGGGTCATGAACCCCTTCAGAATAATGTTTTAAAATGCATACAGTAAAATACATAGGATTGCAAAGGAAACCAATTATATTGAAGCACAGTTTTCAGAGCATCTAAAGTTCCAAGTTTATATACCTCCTAAAATTATCCAAAGATTCCTTTTGAGTCCCCAGGTTAAGAACCCTTAATCTACAGTCTAGGTCAACTTGGACTCGGCTTTACTGGATGAACTCAAGGTACAAGCCCACTAGCTAGGCACTGTGGGAATACCGGAAGGAGTTGTAAGAGTATGGGGACCATCAAAACACAACTAAACTGGAGCCTGGTGACTGCCCACCAGGTTGGGGTTCAGCAATTTTGACATTTCCATCTCAACAACTTGGCTTGAGAGATAAGCATATGTAACTCATGCCATCATAGGCTCGTTATCTCTTCAGTATTTGGACTTCCCAAGGCAATAATACATAAGGCTTCCAGAGGGAAAGTTGCCTTTATATCTAACTGGGGGGGGGTGTTTCAAAAAAACCATTTCTTTTTTTTCCCCTTTCAGAAGAAAAGTTTTGGTACTGAGGTGGGTCCTTTCTCAATGTCACCTCCTCTTTCCCCTTTAGTACTGCACAAAAGAAAGGAAGCTTGGCTTAGTGTAAAGGACAGTATATTTAGAGGCACTGGAGCTGGGTTCCAATTCTGGCACTGTTATTTACTACCAGTGTTATCTTAGGCAAAATACTTCAACTTTCTTGGCCCCCGTTTTCTCATCTGTTAAATAAGAGATTGATCTAGATCAGCAATTCTCAAATTTTTTTGAACTTGGGACCCCTTTAAACGTAAAAAAATCATGAGGATCCAAAGAGCTTTTATATGATGAGCTAAACATCTATTGAGGGGCAGTTAAGTGGCACAGTGGATACAGCACTGGCCTTGGAGTCAGGAGGACCTGAGTTCAAATGTGGCCTCAGATACCTACTAGCCTTGGGCTAGTCACTTAACCTTGATTGCCTCTCCAATATGTATGTATGTATGTATGTATGTATGTATGTATGTATGCACACACATACACACATGTATACACACATATATGTATGTACATATCTATTAAGATTTACCATATTAGGAATGAAAACTGATAACATTTAAAAATATTTATTTAATTCACCTAAAATGAAAACAAACTTATTGCCTATTAACATGAGTAGCATTTTCAATGAAAAATACATATATTCCAAAGCAAAAAAAAAAACAACCCCAAATCCAAAATAAAACCAAAGCAACTTAGTAAGAAGTTACAAATCTCTTTAGTGTTTAGCTTAATAGAAGACAGCTGCATTCTCATATCTGCTGTGATATGTTGTTTTGGTTGAAACATGAGGAAAATCTGTCCTCACATAGATATGTAGTTGTAAAAGGGAGGATTAACAAGATAATAATATCTTAGTATTGTCAAAATAGTTTTGATCATGTGGACCCCCTGAAAGGATCTCAGAGACCCCTCAGGGGTCCTCAGACAACACTTTGAGAACTGCTGATCCTGAGGGTGTCTAAAGACCCTTCCAGCTCTAAATCCTGTGACTTTTGCTCCATCCATCCTTTGTTTTTCAGATGAGATGCCACATACAGTCTGCCCAGCTCTTCTTCCAGAACAGACTGACGTGGGGAATAAAAACATCATATTTCCTACTAAAAAGGGGAATGTGGATCTATCTTGTTTGCCACTCAGCCCCAGGGTGAAAACCTGGAGAGGACTATTGATTATTAGGATAATAATGACAGGAATTTCCTGTCTTCTTTTGGAGGTTTCTTCTTCTGGAGAAAGGGATATTTCAGGTAATCAAGAGAAGTCTGAGTCCTGGAGAGGAGGGAAAAACTGAATGAAAAATTCATAAATGGCTGCTCACTCTAGGAGATAGAACCCTCCTGATATTTGGAATCATTTGTGGTCAGTTAGCTGAAAATAATCCCAGGTTTACAAGGCCATATCTCTCTCTACTTTTCCCCAAATGTTAACTTCTTACAGTGAACCAAAAGTCAATTACCTTGACTGAGACCATGGGAGCTTCATAGGTATAATTACGGTACAGTGAAAAGAGCACTAGGCTTGGAGTCAGAAGGCCTCAGTTTGAGTGTTAATTTAACCACTAATTAGTCTAGTGATTAGGCAACATACTTCATGTCTCTGAGCCTCCATTTCCTGGTCTGGAAAATGGGATAACAACACATTCAGTACTCACCTCACTGGATTGTTTTGAGGATCAAAAGAGAGGATAATGTATGTAAAATGCTTTGTAAGCTATACACACACACACACACACACACACACACATGTATATGTGTGTATATGTATATGTACGTATATATATACACACATACATACACATACACACATATATAATGTATACAAAATATAAATTAGCATGACTACCAGCCCAAGTTCTGAAAGAGCTTTTGTGAATGAAGGGCTAGGTTTTTGGAATGGTTTTAGCATTGGGAGCTGAGAAGATGAACCTTTTTGGTCTGATCAGGTTATTTGCTCCATAAACATCAAAATAGATAAATATCAAAAATGAAGAGTCTTCTTGCTCTTAACCTTTCTATACCTTGACATACTTTTAGCCATATCTGCCTACTAGACAGGTTGACGTGAAATTCTGAGGCATATAGGGGTTATACCTGCCTCTGTTTCACTTTGTTTTAAACAAAGTCCTGTCTTTTACCTGAAATGGTAGTGATGGTAGAGGTAGGGATGCATTCCTAAAAGGACAATTGGGGATGTGCATAAGGAGTAGCTATGTTATTCTTAATTCCAAAGGAGTTTTGGTGCCAAGTAAACTGTTACCTGATCCAGGCACTGTCCAAGGGAAGAAACTGCCCTGTAATCCATGCTGGTATGGAAGCAAGACAACAACTCTTGACTGCTATGGGCCACTGGCTACACATCTGAAGAAATTAAAAGGTCATGGATGGGCAGTGGGCCATCCCCTGAAACACACACAGGGGTACTGCAAGACAAGCCCCCAAGAGGAGCACCCTCCCATCTACACACACACACACACACACACACACACACACACAGACACGCAGACACACACAGAGACGTCAATTCACACGTACACACACAGAGCACAGTGGAACATTACCATGGGTTTCTGTGGAGTGACTAAACCAAGAAAACTTCCCTTTCTTCTTATCAATCATGCCAGCCGGAGTGCTTCCTTTCACAGACAAGATGGTCAGTGTCAAGGACCAGGAACAAGACATCAATAGAGAGCATGCAGCCAGTGATGGGGCAAAAGAAAGAAACAAGGAACTCAGCTTTCAAATAGGACACCCATTTTCCTTTCCAAAAATAAACCAAAGAAAACAAACAGGCAAACAAACAAAAACCAGAGAAACAAAGGGAAAAAAACCACCCAATTTTTTTTCACATGAATAACAGTACAAAGAAAACAAATTACTTAAGGAGAGACCATCTAACTCCATCCAAGGCCCCTGCAGGTTTGGCAAGGTCCGGTCATCGGCTTAAAGTAATGAACTGGCTTATAAGGGAGCAAACATGCTTCAGTTCTCACTCATCTGTTTATGGAGGCTCTTTTCATGGATCTCGGTCGATAAGGGAAATGGCTGAAAATGTGGAAACTGAACCGTGGCATCAAATTTTCCTTCTATTTCCCAGATGGTCCAATGAATGGCACTCTTTCCTCTAGATTTACTTGAAACAGCAATGTGTTGTAGAGAGACCATTGGACTTGGAATCAAAACTGTGTTCAAATTCTGGCTCTGCCATGTGATCTGAGCCTTGGTTTCCCCATCTCTAAAATGCAGATGTCACTCCTCCCTTCCTACTTCACAAGTCTGTGGTGAGGGTCCTGTGACATAATATATCCCATAAACAATTATATAAATGTCAGAGATTCTTATCATACAACTTTCACCAAAAATAATCATAGCTCACATTTATATGGGGTGTTCCAAAAGTCTTAAGGGAATTTTTGTAGGTGATGGTTTACAAAGCACTTTCTTCACACCTCTGTATTAGGAAATAACTGA